AACCCGTCCTCAGAAAAGTCATGTGCTAATGGGGAGAAGTGGAAAATTAAAAAATAGTTAAGTAAAAGGCATAAGTATGTCATGAGTATGGGGAAAAAGTGAAGTCATTATAATATTCCAGGAAAGTGCTGGTGGGTTTTGAAGCAGGGTGATCCCATTGGAGGTGATGAAGGTGATTGAATTACTGAATGACAGATACATTTTGACAAGATTTACTAAAATATAAGATGTTAAGGTGTAAGAAAAAAGGAGTCAAAATTTTTTATTTGGGCAAGTTGAAGCATGTAGTCACCATTTACTGAGAAGAGAAAGATGGTGGTGTTTTTGTTTGTGGCCAGTAGTGGGGAAGCTTAGCTTTGTTTTAGACTTGCTAAGTTTGATATGTGTTTTAGATATTCAAACGGAGATGTTGAACAGGCAGTTGAACATATCTGAAGTTATAAATTTGCTAGTCATCAGAATATAGATAATAAAGTCATGTGACTAGGTGATAATCACTTAAGACGTGAGTATGGATGTCTGAGGTCTGAGCTTTGGGGAACTGCAGTTTAGAGGCTGAGGGTGTGAAGAGAGGACTCAGGGAACAAGCTTGGAGGAATGGCTCGTGAGGAGAGGAGAAAACAGGAAACGATGGTGTCCTGGAAGCATAGTGAAGATGGTTGAAAAGGGAGGTAGTAAATCACCTGTGTCAAATACTGCCTATATAGGTCAAGTAGGGTGAAGACTGAAAATTGATCATTGGATTTAGCAATATGGATAGGTTCTTGTTGATCTTGACAAGAGCAGTTTGGGCTGGTAGAAATAAACACGGCAGTAGCTTTGGGAACACAAGAGATTAAGAGGAGTTTGTTTTTAAGTTGGGAGAAATAAAGCCAGAATCCTTCAGCTGATGGTCAAGACTTTTTAATCTACTTTGTGTATGGCACCTTACTATACCACCTTGACCCTGGAGTTGCAACCTTACTGAAGAAATGACAAAATAATGGGAGTAGGTGATTAGTGCTAGAACAGTTTAAAAAAATAAGATAAAGAAAGTATTGTTTTCACAGAGATGGTGGAATTTAAATTCGTCAATTCTTAATTCTTAGAATTCTTAAAATAAGTTGGATTTAGGTAGATGAAAAGAGAACAAAAGAATAGTATGATATTTGGGGAACAGTAAGACTAGCCTGGCTGGAATTCATATTAAGAAGAGATGGGATGATAAACATGGAGAACTTTTACCATCAAGCTAAATTCCAGCTTTGTTATTTCGGCAATGGAGATTATAAGAAATAATCCATCTGCGGTAGCTGTAGAATTAAAAAATAAAATCTTGTTAATAGTTTTCTTTTTAGTGACTATCAGAAAATTGTCTTAGATGCTTTCTAAATGAAAAGTAAAAGCTAATAAAGTTAGCTGAATTTTAAAATATTGTAATAATTACTTTTAAGCATGAGGATTTCACCCTATGCAAGACAGAAATACCTCTAGGTAACCACAAATTTCCTTTTAAAATATTGATCTGTCCCATTTTTATGCTCTGAAATGGTATTTTAAAAGTATTTTGTAAATAAGAAATAAGTTAAACAAATCATTTCTAATTAAACCATTAGCTCATAATATCACCTCTACTTTTGGAAAAGTCTCTTGCTTATATTACCTTATTGATCTTTAATTTTTTTTAAACTTTTTTTTTAATGCTTATTTTTGAGAGAGAGAGAGAGAGTGCACGAGCAGTAGAGGGGCAGGGACAGAAGGGGACAGAGGATCTGAAGCAGGCTCTGTGCTGACAGCATTAAGCCCCATGAGGGGCTCAAACTCATGAACCATGAGATTGTGACCTGAGCCGAAGTCAGATGCTTAACTGGCTGAGCCACCCAGAAGCCCCTATGGATCTAACTTTAAAAAAAAATAGAAAATACTTCTAATTTATACAAGAAATTAAGAGGAGTTTCATTAAGAGACAAATATAGACTTAATGGAGATTTTCAAATTTATCTTGTCTTCACCAATCCTCAAAATCACCCTAAATAAAACCAAACTTAGCATTTGGAATTTTTGAAGTAGTTGTCAGGATCAGTTCTGCAGATAACTACCCAAGTTACTTTATTTTTACAAAAGGGAAGCTGTTAGGTTGAACCATATGATAGCATATTAGTATTTTAATACAGTGCAGCATAAAAATTCCAACTTGGCTCTTTGTTATAAGTCCACATATAAAGCAAAGAGACAATTTAAGGGAACGAGGCATTGTCCTAAAACTTGCATTCTCTGAAGAACTGGCTTTTATTGAGGATCTATCACATGAAGGTTATGCCCTTAGTCTTATATTTATTTAGCCTTAATGTTTATAATCTAGTAAGAAAAATTAAATATAAACAGTGACAGATATGGTTATTATTAAAATTAACTTTACAAAGCTTACAAGCTTCCTGTGATAACATTTGAAATAATGCAGCATTTGTGGGGGAAAAATTCACTCACCTTAAAAATTTTAACTGGCTATTTATCTTAGAATGGAATGGTAGGGTATAAATGTTATTTCATATCAGTACCTAAAGGAAACAATTGGATCTATCTAGCTGATAGGTACAGTGAATGGTTTTTGGTCAAGGCTCTGAATTTAATGCTTTTTTGGCTATCCATAAAAATGGGAAGGTTTGGCAAAGGAAATGGGGAAGGATTGCAGTAGATTTGAGTCAACCAAGTATCTTTTGGGCCCAGATGGTAGATTTCTCAGTGTGATTTATATTACAGACAATCTGAGTTTAGAGAACCTCCATGGTTTTATCTCAATTTTAGTGTGTTGAAATATTCTGTTAAACATCTTTTTCTGAAGAATGGGATGACAGAGCTATGATAGTCAGAATCTGAATCAATGCAGAAACAGTATTAAAACATATACCATTCATAGATGCTGCCCTTATGGCAATTTTTACCACAATAACCTCTTACCCATAAAGACTCATTAAGAAAATTTAATGTAAATAGAATACGCTTTAATTACAAATGTACTATATTTTAGTTATGATATATAACTATAAATAAAATAAAAGAGTGGGACATATGAAAGGAGAGCATGTGATGAAGAAATAGCTTGCTAGTTAAACTCTATACTTGAGTTCAAATAGGAAGGAAAACATATTCATTGGGTATCATGATTGGAAGACATAAGTGCTTCCAAAAAACAGAAATACTGGTCATCTTTCTTTTTCAATTGTTTCATCGGGAAGAATCTTTTTCAGGTGATAAAACTTACAAGCTAAATTAAAATGCACTCTACTCATTGGCAAGCCACACCAGCAAGAATAATGTGATCACGGTGCTTGGAAGTTTTTGATTTATAACTATACTATTCTCTACTTATAAGGCTGCAGTCTAGGAGGCAGAGCAATGAATCATTACAATTGTCTATCTGGGAAATGTCAAAAGATTAAGTAAGGGCAGAAGAAGAGAGAAGAAGAAAGAACACACATTTTTGTCTGAGAATTATTCCACAATTAATGGGAAGATACCACTAGCACATAAATCCAGTGCTGAAGAAATAATAATTAAATTTTTAAAATCTTCAAATAAGGCTACTAATAAAGCATAATGCTTAAACTTCCTGGGTAGAAAAGCAGATTATCCTCTGTGACTCTGAAAACTAAATCTTTCCTTATTCAACTGTCACAGTGACCTCTCCCGATACACTAAGAGTTTGGGAAAATAAACTTAAGCTGAATAAAATAAATGAATTAGAAATTTGAACCAATCATTAATGGATCCAGATTTAAAAAAAAAAAAGGACACATACAGTTTAATTGATACTTTGCTGATACAAAAATAAGCATCCACAGAACGTTTATTTACTGTTTAAATTACTCCATATTTTCATATACCATGAACAGAAAATATATTTTATCCCACACACAGTAAGAACAAACAAGTGCAATCTTTCAAACATTAAAAGTTATAATCAAATCTGTACAACAGATAAATAAATTTATACCTCTAACAGTTAGCCTGTAACAAAACAAAATGAAAAACATATATTGCCCGAAGTCACCGGTTTACTTAAAATTCTATTCATGGTTAATACATCTCACTCATAACAACTTGAGTTTTTACTACACTGCACAAGTTAGATTGATAAATATTTTAAAAATAGGGGGGAGTAATAAGAAATACCAAAATGATTATAAAGAGCTTTCCAAACATTGGAAATAGACAGAAATTAATTAGTTGAAGGAAAACATTAAATGGATCCACAGGGTACTGGTTTTACACTGGTACAGCTTCAGGAAAGAAAACATGTGAATGTCTGGATTGGAAAGAAAATTTGGCCTTTTTATAAAAAGAAGCAACAGCATCAACAGTGACAAAACCCTGTCATGGAGCCTAGAACAACTCTGTGAGACAAAGTGTACAAAGATTTAGGTATACCTGAAAAACACAGTTAGGAAGAAAAATCATGTCAGGAAACAGATAACATCAGAACATGAACATATATAAATTAAAGGCATACTGTTTATCATTCCACGTCATTGCACATATGATAAGAAAACAATACTGCAGTCATTCTTGAGTAAGAAAGTTTCGGTGAAGTAGGAAGTTGCATGATAAATACAGGTGTAGACAATCTTATTACCACAAATTTAGTAAATATCAAAACACTCAGTGGTGTCACTAAGCTAATTAAATTATCTATATGTATTTACTGGAAAGGTAATTATTTCCCTGCCTTCATGTTAACTTAAAATCATTTATAAATGGCAACATAGATCCAGTAGAAAAGACTTTTCACATGCAATCCTATACAATGCAATCTGCTTCAATTTTTTTTTTTCAGTATTTCACATTGGAGATGTACATTTCCAATATATATACAACCACACATGTTCAACAGACGCCACTGAGCTGTCCTCTTGCCACACAAATTAATTTACATATACATTTATATCTCCAGATAGATACTTTTCTCCTCTAGGCAGACACAAAATCAGTCTGAAGAGTTTGTTTTTTAGGATCTTAGGTACCTAATGTCTGGATTTATCTTGAATCGACGATAAGATGAGGAGTCCACAAAAAAATGCAGCTATACATGCCAACCTTTTCAACAGAGATGAGTTATCTTTAGGAATAATAATCTGTGCAAGATCATTAGTGATCTGAGAAATTTCATGTGCCACACAAACAAATATGAAAGTGCTGACAATGATGTTGAGCATAGGGTTTCCGGGTATGAGAACCAAGATGCCTCTTGTGTCCGCTGCCAGCCAGATGTGATACTGGCAAATAAACAGCTGGAAGGAAAGTATCTAAAGTTAGATATGTACAGACGGTCCAGGACTATCTCACAGTTTTGCCTAACTTAAACATTTGGTAGCATCATTACATTAGCAGGCTTTTTCCAAACCATTTAATTCTGTTTCACTCTTGGTCCTGAAAAGTCTACTGTGGTCTACTCTCCAGAACTCCTACTTGCTCAAGTACTACTTCAAAGTCCCCAAGAAATGAAACAGGACCCTTAGAACTTTAAAAAACATTTTTTCTGCATGACATAGAAGACAGCTGACAGAATGATATCTGAACTCTGGTATTTAGACACCAAATAAAGAATCACTACGTGTGTGTCTATGCACATAAGTATATATATATGTGCATACTGCATATTTAATTATATTTGTGAACCATATTTCTGTATGTGGATACATGAACAGGAAATGGCATGGATTTTAAGATGTCTTCAAGTGTGCTTTGAATGGCCAGACAAATGTTTTCAACTGTATTTTCATGATTCCATAGTATATTTCAACTTTGATGTGAGTATACATATTAGATGACACCACTACAACTTTGATTGTGATCACAAATGTTCTCTCATCAAATTGGTTCAAAATATCAAAGAGTAGAAAAATGCTTAAACTACCTCCCAAATAAGAGACCATAACATTTCTATATATTTTTTTAATGTTTATTTATTTTTGAGAAAGTGTGTGTGCACACGCACTTGTGCAAGCAGAAAAAGAGGGGGACAGAGGATCTGAAGAGGGCTCTGTGCTGACAGCATCGAGCCCGACGTGGGGCTTGAATTCACCCACCATGACATCATGACCTAAGCCAAAGTCAGACACTTAACCAACTGAGCCACCCAGGTGCCCTAAAATTTATTTTTACTAGAAATACCAAATTATAACTTCATTCAATTAAAATTTATACAAACTCTCATACTCCAAGTATTAAGGGGTTGGCAAAATATTCTTTTTATCTACTGAATGACTTGGTAAGTCATTCTCAATTAATAATTCTAAATTCTATTCAGTCTCACTTATGAGACAAAAAAATAATAGAACATTTATTCAAGAACTCAAAAATTTATTTTCCCTATTTTAAAAACAACTTAATAAATCTTATACTCTAAAATGTATCTTCTATGATTACAATATGAATTCCACTGTTTTAAAATGTTCTATCTTGGGAGCGCTTGGGTAATTCAGTCAGTTAAACATTCCACTCTTGATTTCAGCTCTGGTCATGATCTCATGGTTCATGAGTTTAAGCCCCATGTTGGGCTCTGGGCTGACAGCGTGCAGCCTGCTTGGGATTCTCTGTCTCCCTCTATCTCTGCCTCTCACCCTGCTCCCTCCCTCCCGCTCTCTCTCTCTCTCTCTCTCTCTCTCTCAAATAAATAAATAAACATTTAAGAAAGTAAAATGTTCTACTTTGAATAATAGAGCTCAGAATAGGCAGAATGTATTTTAAAACATACTTTAAGGTTTTAAATAATTCATATTAGGTACTGCACACAAAATGTAATGAGTTTTAAAAATTTCCCCAAATTTCGAATCACAAAATTTCCTGAATTTTATTAGGATAAGTATTGATAAACTAAATTCTAGTAATATTTAATTATAGAGATGAAGAACAAATCAAAATCCCCTCAGCTTGTCTTCATTCATATCTATTTACAAATTTCATTTATATCTATTTAATTTTTTTCTCTCCTGATCTCAGCATCTTAGTTGTGTTTAAAAGCTTAAAACAATATAAAGAATATTTGAAAATCATCTATGTCCAGTCATTTAAATACAGCTTTAAAAACATACTATTCTACTGCTGTTGAAAGTTCTGAATTTTGTTTCTATAATGCCATAAATAACATAGCTTTGATTTTTTAAAAATGTCTGTTGGATTCACACACACACAGCCACACACACACACACCTGCATGTAACACTTGGCTATAGAAGATAGAACAAAATATTAATGTACCAACCTCTAATGAAATTTTTCCAAACCAAGCAAAAAATGAACTATAAACTGAACGGGCATATCCAGGGATATTCCTTATTAGGATGAAGGCTAAAATCTACGGAAAAACCACAAAGGCAAAATAAATAATCTGTTTACTAAAAGTGTTTGCTTCCCGTCAAGTGAGAATTTTATTATCTATGTTCTTGGACTATTTGATACATACACAATGTTTTTTTTCAATAAAGTTTTGGCAAGTCATTTTTGTTCTAGAGTCTGTCCATGTTAGGTTTCTCAACATGTGCTCTGTATGTATACTGCATGCCAGTGCAGAATGTAGGTAGTGCATGGCTGAACAATTTTATGTGTATTTGAAAAATTGTAAACCCACATGAGTCCCTTTGTGTAGAAAGAAATGATATCCTATGTTGTGTAGCAAAATTCATAAAATTTCATGATACAATTTGGCTTCTTCCATAAAGTATCTGCCTGACCGGCAGCCATATGCCTTCCTTTTGCTCTCTTCAAAAGCCTCCTTCCGCTAACAGCCATGTAAAGATGAGAAATGGCAGGACTTTTAAGATGTCCTCATGTTTGCTCTGTATGGCCAGGCAAATGATGCCTTGAACTGCATTCACATGTAATGTATTTTCTCCTTTTGATCTCTTCTCTCCAAAAACAATCTCCAGCTTTTGGGCACCTGGCCGTCACCTCTCTCCCCCACCCTTCTGTACTAAGTGGAATAATCTTGAATTTTCTAAACTTCTAATTCAGTGTCACACTCAATAACTAGTTTATCAAGCAAAGAGCTCTCTTTAGAATCTACTCTCCTTATAAAGAACAAAGAAATTGTAAGTAAAAAAGTTTTCACTTTCACAAACATTTTCTCTCCTAAAACTTCTCTCATAAAAAGATTGAAAGATCTATTTGCACTTCAGAGAAAAAAATCCCATATTCAGTGTTGATCATTCTGGGCAACTGGTCAAAGGCTTTCAGGAGAAGCCTCTGGGATGCATACAAGATGAGCAAATAGGAGATCTGTGGGTCCCTCAATCATTGGGAAAAAGGAACCAAAGTGAACTACTCAGGTACTATTAAGTTGAGTGATCTTCACGGGCAATAGCATCAAAGGGACTCAAGTTTGAATCTGGCCTTTCCCTTGTATTAGTTTTGGGATTTAAGGCAAGGTACTTTACTCCCTTAGGTCTGTTTCCTCATTCATATAAATAGGGATATGATTTACTTGGAAGGTTGATGTGAGCATTTGATAAGAAAACACATAAGAGGTACTTATCATAGCATGCACTGTGAGTCATTTAAGAAACATATTAGGTTTAATAGCACAGTTGGTATATGTAATGGTAAAAATCATAAAGGTGAGACCTACACAAAACCCTTGAACATGAAACCATTTAATGAATTATTATAAAGTACTGCGTAAACTGTAAAATGCTAGGAAGAATGACATAGATACTTACAAATCACTAGTCTGAGCTCTCAGAAAATCCAGGAATAGTTCTAAGCAAATCACTTTCTTTCTTTCTAACTTTAGAAAGAATGTGTACTTATTTCTTTAGCATATTCCAGTCTGAGTTTTGTCATACACTTACTAAACAATGTGATAAGGGGAATAGAAAATCAAAGAAATAATAGCCATGGAGAAGATAACGGGGGTCTAGGGAGCCATCCTTATTAGCTTTGTAAAGAAATAATAATAATGCTTAAAATTTGTTCAGCATTTATAACTTGTTGGGTACTGTGCTAAGCACTTAATATACATTATTTATGGTTAATCACCTGTATGCTGTTCTATAACAAGCCCTTCTGGAAATTTCTATCCAGATTGATGGGCAAAACTAAAAGGTCAGGATTCTAGGATTGCTCTACAAGAGTGAAACAGATAGAAGGATTGAGAGTATGGAATTATTGAACAATTATATTATACACCTGAAACTAACATAACACTGTTAATTATACTTGAATTAAAAAAAAAAAGGATTTGATATATAAGCCTTCTGCAGGTCAGGCTGGGAAAATACTTTCTAACAGAAAACTAGGAATCTTGTACATGTTAAAATCTTAAGAAGCTCCCTCAGATAAGTATGCTAAAGGTACACATTCTTATATATAATTTTTAAAAACCACAATGTCCTATATACACACATCTACACCTATACCCTCACACCTACGTTACCCTTTGGCATCTGAAAATAAGAGTGAAGTGTGATAAGGATGTAAAATTTGGGGCTCCCTGGATGATCCAGTTTTTACAGTAGGGGACTGGGTCCCTTGAAAAGAGGTAGCTGCTAATAAAATTAGTACTTGCTTCAATTTATGCTCCCTGTCCATTCTTTTCCTCTGCACCAGAGGGCCTGAGGCCCTCACTGAAAAAGTATTAAGTAAACAGAAGTGTGTAGAGAGTAGTGACCGGAAAGGAAGGCGATAAGGATTAGCAGTGCTTGCCTGTTATTGTATGTGTATCTACTCTTTCCCTTAGCTCTTCTTATATTGTTCTGTATTGGTGCATCATGAACGGTAACACCTCCCTTCCATTATGAGTAACAGAAATGATATCAAATGACATTATGAGTAACAGAAATGATATCAAATATGGTATCACTGGTAAGCACTATTACTGTCTACAGAAGTCGTGAAAATGCCACATGACTACAGCATAATGTTTAAAATTTCATTATCAATTACATTTTAAGAGTCTGTCACATGCTCAATTCTACTGACTATATAGAGGCTTAAAAGGGATAAAATAGTTCCTTGCACTGAAGAGAACTTAAGACCTAAGAGAAGATCCTCTAGAAATGATCCCTGTTCCTCTTTGCTGGACTACTCATTTATTAGGTCATGGTTTAGACACTACTTTCTCTAAGAACCCTGCTCATATACCAAGATAGCTTGAGAAGAAACCCCACATGCTTCCAAAGCTTCCTGTATTTAACCATCACCACACTATCACAATGTCCTATCATCACTGGCAACGGGAGGTATCCCTGCAAAATGTCAATCTGCTTTGAGTTGCCCCTCGCCTCTGCCCACCTCTCAGTCGCTACCAAACACTTCTCTAGACGCTGGCTGAGTTCTAGCCTGAACAACTTTCTGTAAATTTCCTGAATGTCAATTTGCTCCCTTCCATCACAGGGCCTGAGTTCTTGCTGTCCTTTATCCCTCCATTCTCAACTTAATTTTCTTAGGGAAATAATTTCTGACCCCAGACCATGCCTGCTACAACTCCAACTAGGTCATATCCCCTTACTATATTCTCTTGTAGCATCATATGCTACTCTTTATAATTATGTGGTGATTATATGATTACTATCTGTAATAGAAGAATGGAGGCTCTGGGAGGATAGGAACTATGTCTATAATACCCCCAGCATAATATTAGTGCATAGTTATATTTGTTAAATGCATACAAAATGTTAAATGAACGAATATTTACTGGTTCATATCTCTACTAGACCATAAATTCTATGAGGGCAGGAGCTGTATATATCTTAACACTAAACTTCTTACATGTAGCATGGTACTTAACACATTGATAATTATGATTTAATAAAGAAATATGAGTAAATGAGGACAAAGCAAACATGAGGAGAGTTAACAAGTTCTGAATGCCTACTAAGTGACAAATATTGACAATTTCCATACATTTCACGTAACAACCCTTTAAAAGAAATTTTAAGGTTTCTGTACAGTAAAGGAAGGTAGGGGTTAGGATGATTAAATAATATACCTACATTTTACAGTTTGATCTCAAATCTCTCTGCTTCTAAAGACTGTGTTCTTATCAAGAATTAAGAAAAACATTTTTTTCCCTAAATCAGGATAATTACCTGCACCACAGATACAGATGGATGGAGTTCATTGCACTCTGCTTTGTTTTTACAACTGCTAGCCCAGATGGAATAGGTCTAAAACAAAAAGAATATATATGGATCAGTTCCTGAAAATACTTATGACTCAATGAAGCAGCTTCCTCATAATCTACACACTTCTTGTTTTGTTTTGTTAATAACATTATGCTCCATTATGTTATTGAAAAAGCCTTAGTGAAAGCTGCCCACAGGTTCGGTCATCACTTATTTTGGTATGCTCAACTGTTAAGTAAAAGAAAGCAGACAGAGAGGAGTACAGGTCTGTGCTCCTCTGGAAATAGTGATCATGAGGCAATGATCACTCTTCCTGTCAAACACCTCACATTTTATTTTTCCCCAAATTTATTACAATTTTACAAATTTCCATTTCACTGAGTCCTCAGTTATTCTTCATATTTAACACATGCATATATACACATACATATATACATTCTCTTAGCATTTATGTTCAATGAGAAGAAAATGGAGAAAAAGGATTTTAAAAGTAAAGATTTATTAAAAATAATTGATTGAATCCCTATCTCTTAATGTTAATATTCTGTACCATTTAGGATTTTGGAAAACTAGAAGATTACACTTTGAAACTTACCAAGAAAGAAACTACTGAAATAAACAATAGAAAATTTGAAATTTTGTTTGAAAAAAGAGGTTCACCCTTTCCTTCAGAAAGTACTTGACGCTTCTGTAAAGCCAGATAAATGAAAGCAAACAACATTCCATGAAAGACTACCTAAAAAATAAGAAGAGAAAATTTGTTTTAAACAGCTAGATTTCAGTAAGTAGCAGAAATAGTTGGAAAATAAGGACAATATATACAAAAGTAAGTAGGTTAAAAGCTTAAAGATTGAATGAAGGTTTTAAACTTCAAGAAATGACATACAATCAAGGATTGTTAGAAACTATCCACAGCCCTTGCAACAATATGAGATAAGCTGGTTCATTTTGAGCAGTCTCAGCCGCAAGTGAAGAAATAAAGAGAAGTTCAAAATAATGATAAAAACACAAGAAAGAAGTGTTGATGAGAATGTGGAGGAAAAGGACCTCTTGTATACTTTGATGGGAATGCAAACTGGTACAGACACTGTGGAAAACAGTATGAATTTTTCTCAAAAAATTAAAAGTAGAACTACCCTGTGATCCCATAATTCCACTACTGGGTATTTATCCAGAGAATACAAAAGCACTAATTTGAAAAGATATATGCAGCCCTATGTTTACTGCAGTATTATTTACAATAGCCAAGATACGGAATTGGCCCAAGTGCCCATTAATAGATGAATGGATAAAGAAGATGTGTGCATATATATATACACACACAATGGAATACTATCCAGACATAAAAAGAATGAAATCTTTTTATGCAATAACATGGATCTAGAGGGTTTAATGCTAAGTGAAATAAGTCATTCAAAGAAAGACAAATATCATATGATTTCATTCATATGTGGAATTTAAGAAACAAAACAAACCAACAAAGAAAAAAGGAGACAAACCAAGAAACAAACTCTTAACTACAGAGAACAAATTGGTGGTCATCAGAGGGGAGGTTGGTGGGGTGACGGGTGAAATAGGTGAAGGGGATTAATAGTACACTTATCATGATAAGCACTGAGTAATGTATAAAATTACTGAATCACTGTATTGTTCACCTTAAACCAATATAACACTATATGTCAACTATACTGGAATTAAACTTTAAAAAAAGAACAACAACAATAATAAACTATTTTGAAGACATATGGTAAAATTTAAATGCTCAACCAAAATAAAACACATTTTATCTTGATACTCTCAATCAAATAAAACAACAATAACATCACCAATATCATGCTTTTAAGAAGGAACATATGCACACAAGAATGGGGGAAAAATGGTAGACCAGAAAGCACATAAAGCTTCCTTTTTTTTTTTTAAACAAAGGTTTACAGTGAACTATCATAGTAGATTGCTCTAATGACTAGGTTGAGAATTTAGAGGTTGGTAGCAAGACTTTAGCAAAGCTTTTTATTTATATGTGGTTTTGAAGTGCAATGTAGTATACTGGAAAGTGCATAGGTATTGGAAACCAGAAATGGCACAAAATAGGCATTAAGAAAACATTTGTTGGGGCACTGGGTAGCTCAGTCAGTCAAGCATCTGACTTCGGCTCAGGTCATGATCTCGCAGTTCATGAGTTTGAGCCCCCTGTCGGGCTCTGTGCTGACAGCTCAGAGCCTGGAGCCTGCTTCAGATTCTTGTCTCCCTCTCTCTGTGCCCCTCCCCTGCTTTCTCTCTCTTTCTCTCTCTCTCTCTCTCTCTCTCTCAAAATA